ATATAATATAATATAATATAATATAATATAATATGCTGAGTGTAGACTACAGTTTGCACACATTACCTTAGTGCATTAGCTACTTATTCACTGTTAGTTATAATAGCACATTTAATGCAGCAACCATTGAACCAAAGTACTGTCAATCAATAAGACTGGCATTAGGAATTGACCTAAATATTAAGGTTAAGACCCCATAATGTTTTGCTTATGTTGTGGATTTCCTTTGTGAATTTAAATATTGAGGATTGAAACACTACACATTATATAAAACTCAATTTTACCTGGCATATTAGACCATAAGGATCAGAATCTAATTTAGAACTAAGATTATAAACCTACAAGAATGCACATAAAACCCAAAGAACCTAAGATTCTCTGGATTCTCTATGAACAAGCTCTGCTTTTTATGTGTATGTGGTTTTATTTTTATCCAAGACTCAACACACAATCACAATGTGGCTTGATTACATGTCTGATTTCTCCTGCAAACCGCTTGGCTGTGCGCACACGTCCTCAGCACTGAAGGTGGGACTCACATAATAGGAAAGGATGGATAGGCAGAGAGGGAGGAGGAGGAGGAGGAGGAAGGGAAGGAGGGAGGGAGGGAGGGGGCGGTCAGAGCTGCGCATCTGTACAGGCAGCTCGAGAGGAGAGAGGGAGGAAGGAGAGAGACCAACAGGACAAGATGAGGACCGCGGCAGCAGCGACGCACGCATCGACATTGGGATGGGAAAAGGCAGACGAGAGGACGACGCCGAGGCGCAGCGACGAGGCATGAAAGAGGAGGCTCGGGAGACGTGCCGCATCGCTCCAACATGGAGGCGTAGCGACATGCATTAGAGGAGATCATTTCATTGTAGCCTAGCAGCATCCTCACCATCATCATCATCCGTCCGTCCAACCTGAGCGGAGAGGAGGAGGAGGAGAGAGGAGCGGAGATGGGCTCCCAGGTTGTGCAGACCCTGCGTCAGGGAGTCTGGGCATCCCTGACCGGGGGCTGGTACCACGACCCGGACCAGAACAAATTCAACAACTCCTGCCACCTCTATCTGTGGATATTCCTCCTGATGTTGCCCCTGTCTCTCCATCTGGTGAGTTATTTTTATTACTATTATTATTATTATTATTATTGGGGGGGTGAGGGGGGGACATGACGTTCAAGGCCGCGGAGGGGGTGTGAGGTGTCCACGGTACCCAGAAGGTGACGTTTTATTCATGTGCGTTTGGATAAACACGCAGCAGCTCTGCGAGAATGTGAACATTATCCACTGTCTGGTTGCTGCTGAGGGAAACGAGCTAGAAAAAGGGCACTGTCGCAGTATCTTTCCCCTGCATGCAGTGACGGAACGCATGGCTGCTCCTGGATGTGACTGGTGGAGGCAGGAAGCGTGAAACTACGGTGCACAAATATTTTCACGTCCTGGCTTTTGGAATAGGTGCAGCACAGACAGATCACAATATACCGACTGATCTACCACCAAGCCATGGAGATAAGAGAGAAAACCCTTGTTTCTTAACATTACAGGCTTTCCTGGCTTATTCTTGCTGCCAAACCTCAACTGGATGTCACATTAAACTTGGTTGCATTAATAAAGCAAAGCGGTGTCAAAAGGTCACAAACCTTAACCTGAGCAGTGGGTGCTTGTTGAAATGAATAGATGATACAATGTGAAGGCATGTGCACCCAGTACAACTTATAAATAATGCATTTTTAATGAAGCAGACTTTTTTTTTTATAGCCAGGTTACATACTGCAGACTATGATACTGTGTGTTTGGACAACTCCAAAATATGCCGCCCATGAATGACAGCTAGTAATGCAAAGTAACAGATTCTGATGTGCGAGTGACACCACAGATGTTTAAGCGCTCTGACACTAAATCTATATTAAATTGTTGCTGCTGACGGTTTCCAGTCTGTGTGAAAACATCCACTGCTTCCCCCTGCAAAAACAACACAAGCTTTCTGGGAGCGATGTGTCAAATTTCTAGTTTATTAGCATTTTTCGGTGAAGGTCGCACCCAGCGCAAGATGATAAATGACGAAAGAAAGTTGAAGTGCACTCAAATATGAGCACCAATTCTGTAAATGTAGGCTGTAAATCTGCACCTTTAGACATCTGAAACAGCAAGAACTCTCTCCAGAACTGTATGAGTCATGTGTGGACATGATGCAGATGCTTCGTCTGTAGTCTTCCTGCTCCTTGCCGTGGGCCGTTCCTTCCTCGAGGATCTGCAAACTCCATTAATCCGCCAATATATCAAATCAGATCTTGTGGTTCGCTGAGCCTGTAATACACTCGGGTGGGCAGATAAATGAGAGCAGATAGTTGGTGCTGCAGCTTTAAGCGTTAAATCAAACTGTCCTGATAGAGTCAGGAGACTCTGGAGATTTGAATATGATGAAACCCTCCTTCCCTTATCTCCACAGGCCCTGCCTCCGACCACCATGGCTTTGAGCATCTACTGCACCTCCATCACGCTCTTCTTCATCCTCATCAAGCTGGCCAACTACCGGCTGCACCTGATGTTCGATGAGGGCGAGGCGGTGGTCCGCAGCAGCCTCTCCGACCTCAGCAAGGCCCCGGAGAAGAAAAGCAACGCCTCCGACTCCTGCCTGCCCGCCAGCATCAGGTAAAAACACTTAAAATCCTGAAAATACAATCAGCCGGATCAATCTGAAGCAGCAGTGGCAGGTTTTTTTTGCTGCTTGTGCCTTGAGCCGCTTCCATGTCAGGTTAGTCATTGCAAAAATCTAGGCTAGAGGGCTAAATCCCTAATGATACAGCTTAATTATTAACGTGGAATTGTGCATTTAGGCCTGAGACCTCCTTTTAGAATAATGCCGCTATTACTAAGTATAACTAAGCACGAGTCTCCATTTTAGTCGCCTCTTTCTCGCTCTGTATTTTCCTCAGTCGTCTCTTTCTTTGGGATCAGATTGGTTTCGTGATCAAGTGTCTCAGAGTGGGATACAGACTCTTTCTGCTCCATTTCAAAGACTCAGTGCGGCTTTGGTGAATGAGCGAGCTAATGAGGGGAGGTCAGTGATCTTCAGTCGGCCACTCCGCTGTGACACACTTGATCTGCGCCGAGACTAATAAAAGAAAAGCCGTCACTTCCTGTTCTCTGCGCGACTGTATTTCTCTTAATTGAGATGAGATGAAACAGCAAGTCCAGACTGTTTCCTCCTACTTCCTTGTCTCTGTAAATTAGTGTATTTCAGCATTCAGTGGAAGAGTGAAGATCAGACAGCCTCCTTTTAAAGTGACGTATGGACTTATATGGACTCTCCGTCTCTCTTCATCCCTTCCCTTGTCTCTTTGTCTAACAGGAAGAGCAGCACGGTCCCCGACAGCGTTGCCATGACGATGTTGGCCCGGAAGCGTCCCAGTCCAGTGATCCAGGTGACGGTGAAACAGACCGAGACCGACCC